CCCCCTCTCCCCCCCGCCCCGGGGGGGGTCCCCCGGGCCCCCCCGCTATGCCGGGGGGTACCCGCAGCCCGGGGGGTACCCTGCAGCAGGGGGATACCCAGCAGCGGGGGGGTACCCCCAGCCAGGAGGGTACCCAGCAGCAGGGGGGGACCCCCAGCCGGGAATGGCCATGCCCACCATGCCTATTCGGTTCGGTAAGTGGGGGCACCTTGGGGTTTTTTTTGGGGGGGGCACTAGAAACAGGGGTGCTATGGGGGGCTGCGCAGCCTACTCTGGTGCTGAGGGGTGTCCCGGACCGCAGGTGACAACAGCATCGGGGACAGCTCCCCCCTCCAATCGGCTGACTGGGACGACAGGAAAGTCCGACACACCTTCATCCGCAAGGCGAGTCCCAGGGGGCCGGGGGCACCCGTCGGGGTAGGGGGCACCGGTCAGGGTGGGGGGCCAGGTGCTGACCCCCCCTGTCTCTTGCAGGTCTACGCCATCATCTCCCTGCAGCTTCTGGTGACGGTGGGGATCATCGCCGTGTTCACGTTTGTGTGAGTGGAGGGTCCCTCCTTAGCCTTGCCCTGAAAAAGGGGGGAGCCTGGGGGGTTCCCGAGGGGACAGTAGTTGCTGTCCCCCCTCCCTTAACGCTTGTCCCTCCCGTCCCGCAGCTCCCCTGTCCGCTCCTTTGTCCAGAGGAACGTCGCCATCTACTATGCCTCGTAGTGAGTAGGGGGTCTCCCGGCTTGGCCCCCCCGGGTGCCCCCCGGCAGCTGGCACCCCACAATCGCAGCCTCCCTGTCTGGGGGGGTGGTGTCCTGGGGGGGGGGTCGCAGGGCTGACAGCGCCTGTCTCTCTCCACAGTGCCGTGTTCCTGGTGACCTACCTGGTGCTGGCTTGCTGCCAGGGTCCCCGGTGAGTCGCTGGGGTGGATATGGGGGGGTAACTCTAGGGCATCGGGAGGGGGGTCCCTGCCTGGGACTGCCCCCCGAGGGGTGGGGACCAGGGGGATACGACATGGCCGCTGTCACCAGCTCACCTCCCTTCCCGCTTTTGTCCCCAGGAGACGCTTCCCCTGGAACATCATCCTGCTGAGCATCTTCGTGAGTGGGCTGGGGCTGGCGGTGCCCCCATGGCACCCCAGCTCCCCAGGCAGGCTGGGAGGGATGGGGGGACGCGTGTGCAGGCTGGGGGTGGCCAGGAACTGCTGCCCACCACGGCGCTGCTCGCCCTGCTGAGCCCACCCTTCTCTCCCGCAGACGCTGGCCATGGGGCTGATGACGGGGACGATCGCCAGGTACGCTCCGGGGACCCCGCGGTGACAGGAGCTAGGGTTCCTCCTGTCACCCACCACATGGCCAGCTCAAATGAGAGGCTGCCGGGGGCCGGAGGACACCCCAGTCCCTTGGGCTTGGGGACAGCGGGGTCCCTGCCTGGGGTCGGGGCCATGGGGGGTCACCAACAACCCCCTGGCAGGGGGATGCCGAAGCGCAGGGTGACTCTGGTGTCCCCTCCGTCTGCAGCATGTACCAGACCAAAGCCGTCCTGATCGCCATGCTCATCACTGCCATCGTGGCCATCGTTGTCACCATCTTCTGCTTCCAGACCAAGGCAAGGAGGGGGACGTGCCCTGCCCTGCCCTGGGGGGTCAGGCACGGGGAGCCAGGTGGTGGGGACACCCCGGGCTCTCCCGTGACATGTGTGTGTGTCCCCCCGGCAGGTTGATTTTACATCATGTCCGGGGCTCTTCTGCGTGCTGGGCATCGTGGTCATGGTGACCGGGATCATCACCGCCATCGTCCTCTCCTTCAAATATGTGAGTGGGGGGAGACAGGGGGGCTGTGGGGTGCCACGGGTGTCCCCAGCTGGGTGTCCCCAGGGCTGGTACGGGCAGGGAGGTTTGGGTGATTCCCCTTTGCTAGTAAGCAGGGTGTGGTGCTGGCCACAGCAGAGGCAGCTTGCCCGCAGGGAGAGGGTGCGTCGGCGTCAGCATCAGCGGCATCTCCTCGGGAGCCAGGTGCAGGCAGGACCTGCCCTGCCTTGCCTGCTGCCCGCCAGCGCCCAGCTCACCCTGCCCGTATCCCCTTCCCCGCCCAGGTCCCCTGGCTCCATATGCTGTACGCGGCCATCGGTGCCATCGCCTTCACCCTGGTGAGTTGAGGGCTGGGGTGGGCAGAGGGTGTCAGGCAGGGACCAGGGCAGGGTCCCCAGGACCCGGACCCTGCCTGACACCCTCTGCCCCCCCAGTTCCTTGCCTATGACACCCAACTTGTGCTGGGGAACAGGAAGAACACGCTGAGCCCCGAGGAGTACGTCTACGGTGCCCTCACCATCTACACTGACATCATCTACATCTTCACCTTCATCCTGCAGATCGTGGGCCGGGATTAGCCCCGGGACCCCTCCGGTCCCCCTCCTGTTGCCTCTTACCCCCTCCTCTGGCCTCTCTACAGGATACAGCCACTTACCATGACTCCTAACGCTTCAGCATCCCTACCTGTAGGCTGCTAAGGAAAGGGCTTCCCTTGATCACCCCCCACAAGCCTCCAAAGGTGCTGGGGGGACCGTCCACCACTGTTTGGGCAGTGCCCGGCCTTAGCACCGCTTGCCGAGGCTGTGCCGGCAGTGCCGAGTTGGCAGCAGGAACGCCACGGTCCTGCCTGGGTGTGGGGAGCTGGCAGCAGCTGCCGGGATCCTGTTGGGATTTTTTTGGCAGAGCCTGGTTGGTGTTATTCACTCAGTGCCTTAAACGAGTCTCAGCCGTGCCTGGTGCAAGTGGGGGGCAGCTGGGACCCCCGTGGTGGGACTCATGGCAGAGCTCATGTCTCGGATGCCCCACAGCCACGGACGTGGGCGAAGTTGCACTTGCTAAATAAAACACTTTAATTTTCCAGACTGTCCCAGTCTTACTGGTGTGGCGACTCCCCCGAAAAACCTGTGGGCAGCCTCAGCGGGGGCTGCGGCCCAGGGCAGCGCAAACCCTGCTTTGGGGCGGAAAACCAAGGTCGAGGCGCTCCAGGCCTGGCCTCCCTCCCCTGCCCGTCCCCCTCCGCCCCTGCGGGCAGAGCCCTGGCTGCAGAGCAGCTGGGTCTCCCCCGCCGCGGAGGCAGGGGGAGCCTCGGGCTGAGCCCCGAGGGAGCGACCGCAGTGGCACCGAGCTGTTCCACTCACCACGGATGAGGTTTATTTGTCCCTATCCAGCCCCACGACCACCCCACGGGCTGGGCAGGGAGCCAGGCACCAGCGTCGCGTGTCCCACGGGGCGGGCGGCCCCTCGCGCAGTCCCTCCAGGGGGCCACGGTGCCAGGCTGGGGGCGGGGGGCAGCCCGGCTATGCCCCCCTGGCCACCCTCTTGTATCGCTCCGTCTCGTACTCGCCCTGGTTGGCTTCCATCATCTTCCGACGGATTTTGAGCTGCTCCAGACGGTTTTTGTCCACTTCTCGCTTGGCCAGGAGGAAGAGGATGATGCCGGAGGGCAACCCGATGGCCCTGCGGGACAGCCGGCGGGCGGGAGATGGAGACAGCCGGCGGGGAAGCGAGGGCCCTGGGCCACCCTGGGGCGGCTCGGCACCCCCCGTCCCCCCCAGGCCCCGCAGAGCAGCGGAGCCTCCCGCCG